CAATCTACTGTGCTTGAGTCAAAAAATTCAGGAATTTTAGTAGCTTAAGCATTTTCATTCTGCCAAATAGATTCTAAACCATGCTAGAGTCAAAATCACAGTGACCCCATGCATTTTGATCATGATTCCTGTATTTGCTGAGAAACACAGGCTTTTCAAATTTGCTGAGAAACACAGGCTTTTCAAAGCACCTCTGGGTCTTTGATAAAGTTATAATATTTTTAAGGTGTTGATGGCCTGAATTTGGTCCAGCAGATAATAACTTCTCTGTATATACGGCTTAAATAATGGATTCCACCATAGAAAATGTTGCCTTTGTTTTCTCCCTCTTTATTTATAGAAGACTGTCTGAGTAGCTATTTAAAAAAAAGCACTTAGAATAAACACAAATCATTTTGTTAATGATCACCCTTCAACAAATGGCACCCATTTTTGTAATGAGAAAATGTCCATGTGCCTAAAGTTAGCTAATTAATTACTTAATACATCCAAAATAAATGAAAGGGTCTTCAGGCAATGGAGGTGCTGAGCAGTTAAAATGAACCATCTGAGACTAAAATAATTTATCTTTGTGTCCCCACAGTGAGTAGGTACTCAGTGGAATTGATTAGAATTCAGTGTTTTGAGAGACATTGAACCAGTAAAGCATTTCCCTCTTCAATTAATTATTTCCTAAAGCATATAAGCATGCTCCTTTTTCCCTTCCAAATCTTTGAATGCATTCCATGTACTCCTTTTAGGGCACCATTACATGTTCTTAAAAACCGTTTTCCCACTTCATTTTTAAAACTGTGCACTCATTTTTACCACGGAGATAATGCCTAGAGGCAGAAGTTCTGACTTGAGTCCTGCTAGAAAAATTTGGCTGGACCTTTCTGAACAGTAAAAGTATATCATAGAGAATTTAACAAATTCAGCAGTGAAAACTTGAGCACAATACATTCTTCAATAAACAAGCTTATGGCAGGAACAAAATAAATAGCTGGCAGAGATTTTTCCAATGCCTTCAAGTCTCTTAGGATGGTAGGAAATTCTTATCTCTTGAGTAAATTTCTAAATCCACCAGATCTTCTATGGAACAGAGGGCAGGTTGGAAAATCCTTAGCACCAGAGTTCCTTTGAGTGGAGGAAGAGAAGAAGGTGAGCAGGCCACTCTGGCAATCCCATTCAAGCCACTCCAAGTTGCCTCGGGCTCTCAGTAAATGCAGACAGAGCGCTTTATTTTCTTAATGGGGTGTTCTGATCCCTGAGCCAGACTAGAGTCATTGATAAAACTCTCCTGCTCTACCAACAAACATTGTTCTAGGAATCCACTGGGGGAACAGTCCCTTATCAAGCTGGTTTGGAGTTCCTGAGAAACCTTTCCTTCCTGCTTTAGGTGATGGGTAAATCCTCTGTCTGTGATGCCCTTTGCATGAGGCCGTCTGTTGTCCGCCCACCTTCTTCACTTCCTTTCTAAAGACTCTTCCAAACTCTGTGGAGGTGACCACACTGCTCTCTGTGTTCCCACTGAACCCTGTGCTCTCTGGGGAAGCTTGAAGGCCTTAGAGCCTTAACCTCCCAGAGGAAATACCAGAAATTAGTTTTTATTTAATTGTAATTCAACAAATATTGATGGAGTACTGCCAACTACCCATCATGCTCGGAAGTCCCATGACGCATTTCTGTGCCTCTGTGGTCTCCTGGCAAAAGGGTGAGAGTGGTTTCAGTGCCAAGTTTGCTTTCCAGGCCCATCTGTGAGGTCTCCCACGATAGGGAGCATTTAGAGCCAGGCCCAAGGTACTGGAGGTCACCATGCCCTCCTGACATGGCCCTCAGACTTCACAGAATGCTCAGAGCTAGCAGAGTTCTCATCTGATCCCGGGAAACTGGGTAGCAGATTCCTGCCTTACAGACAAGTCCACCGAAGCTAGGAGAGCAGAGATGCCCCTCTGACCCTTGACGTATGGATGCAGGAAAATCATGCAAATTCAAGGATGTGAACTCACTGAAGCACAGAAAGGACCTTTTCAATGCCTGGTCTATCTTTTAGGGAAGAAGCCTTGGCTGGACTGTCTGGCTAATCCCATATTTAAACCCCTTTGAATATTTTAAGAGGAAAAACACCCATGTAATACTCTGCATTTAAAGTTGTGAATTAAACCTCAAAGCAGATCTAGGTTAAATGCTCCAGATTGGGTGATTAACTTTTTTTTTCACCCTAGAGAGTAACCCCACTGTCCCCTGGCATCAATCAAATGTGTTTTATAGTTGGCCTAGTTAGTTAGAAACCTGCCTTCAAATTTCTTCAGTGACAAAATCAGCTGGATATCTTACAGAGTCAGGTGAGCTCCAGAAATCTTACCTAACAGTGTCAGATGGTATATGTTTTAGGATTTGGAGTTCATCCTTGGAGTATGCTGAGTGATATTTGACCAGGAGCCATCCACTGGTATTCACGTAAGCTCTGAGCAGAGCCTGTCTTGTTTTCATAGTGTCTTCTGGGTTAAGGGAGTGCCCAGAACATAAAAGGTATGCAAGAAACCTGTGCCGCATAAATGCTGTTGGTGAATTTTTGATATGCAGATGATGCTCAGACTGGCTTGTTTTGATGCCTGTGTACATAATAAAAGGAAAGGTAGCTTTTTTCATTTGCCACAGATGGCATGAAAGCGAATTTCTCATTTTGAGATCGTTCATGGGAAATACCAACTCTTCATTTTTTTAGGCAAGGCATTAAAGTATGTTCGTGAACACTGATGAAAGATTTCTCCTCTGAAGGGTTTACACTGTTTTTTAGGGCTTTGGATTTTGTTCAAGACTCCTGAACTGGAAGCCAATGCTTCAGGGTCGAATTGTAGAGTGGGCCCACTGGTGGCAAACATGTAGTAGGCAGGTGTGGAAATGTTCCAGAGAGGTCATCCATTCATTTGGTGACGGGCTTTAATGTTTAAAAATTCACCACTCTTCCAAGAAACCACTGTATTATGTCTCTTCTCTTCTGCCTTTTTTCAATTAGTATTCTTACCAGGAAGGCATAAAGTGTGTAAAATTTTGGGCCCTACATTTCATAGCTGTTTCTGTGGAATGTTCCCCACCAAAAAACTCCTCTGGGTATAATCACATAAAGTCAAGAGAAAGGAATTAGGAGGCAGAGGACCTTTACACAGTGACATCTGCCTCGCCCCTATAGCAAGAAGGCACCGAAGAAGGTTTTATCTTCTTTTGTGTAATCCACCAAAGCGATGTCACTGACATTCACCATCAGCTTGTCTCCTTCTTGCAAGGAGAACATGGCTCCTAGGTAGATGGGTTGGAACCAGTTGCTGCCTATTTCACACACTGAACCCTTATCAAGCTGGTTTGGAGTTCCTGAGAAACCTTTCCTTCCTGCTTTAGGTGATGGGTAAATCCTCTGTCTGTGATGCCCTTTGCATGAGGCCGTCTGTTGTCCGCCCACCTTCTTCACTTCCTTTCTAAAGACTCTTCCAAACTCGGTGGAGGTGACCACACTGCTCTCTGTGTTCCCACTGAACCCTGTGCTCTCTGGGGAAGCTTGAAGGCCTTAGAGCCTTAACCTCCCAGAGGAAATACCAGAAATTAGTTTTTATTTAATTGTAATTCAACAAATATTGATGGAGTACTGCCAACTACCCATCATGCTCGGAAGTCCCATGACGCATTTCTGTGCCTCTGTGGTCTCCTGGCAAAAGGGTGAGAGTGGTTTCAGTGCCAAGTTTGCTTTCCAGGCCCATCTGTGAGGTCTCCCACGATAGGGAGCATTTAGAGCCAGGCCCAAGGTACTGGAGGTCACCATGCCCTCCTGACATGGCCCTCAGACTTCACAGAATGCTCAGAGCTAGCAGAGTTCTCATCTGATCCCGGGAAACTGGGTAGCAGATTCCTGCCTTACAGACAAGTCCACCGAAGCTAGGAGAGCAGAGATGCCCCTCTGACCCTTGACGTATGGATGCAGGAAAATCATGCAAATTCAAGGATGTGAACTCACTGAAGCACAGAAAGGACCTTTTCAATGCCTGGTCTATCTTTTAGGGAAGAAGCCTTGGCTGGACTGTCTGGCTAATCCCATATTTAAACCCCTTTGAATATTTTAAGAGGAAAAACACCCATGTAATACTCTGCATTTAAAGTTGTGAATTAAACCTCAAAGCAGATCTAGGTTAAATGCTCCAGATTGGGTGATTAACTTTTTTTTTCACCCTAGAGAGTAACCCCACTGTCCCCTGGCATCAATCAAATGTGTTTTATAGTTGGCCTAGTTAGTTAGAAACCTGCCTTCAAATTTCTTCAGTGACAAAATCAGCTGGATATCTTACAGAGTCAGGTGAGCTCCAGAAATCTTACCTAACAGTGTCAGATGGTATATGTTTTAGGATTTGGAGTTCATCCTTGGAGTATGCTGAGTGATATTTGACCAGGAGCCATCCACTGGTATTCACGTAAGCTCTGAGCAGAGCCTGTCTTGTTTTCATAGTGTCTTCTGGGTTAAGGGAGTGCCCAGAACATAAAAGGTATGCAAGAAACCTGTGCCGCATAAATGCTGTTGGTGAATTTTTGATATGCAGATGATGCTCAGACTGGCTTGTTTTGATGCCTGTGTACATAATAAAAGGAAAGGTAGCTTTTTTCATTTGCCACAGATGGCATGAAAGCGAATTTCTCATTTTGAGATCGTTCATGGGAAATACCAACTCTTCATTTTTTTAGGCAAGGCATTAAAGTATGTTCGTGAACACTGATGAAAGATTTCTCCTCTGAAGGGTTTACACTGTTTTTTAGGGCTTTGGATTTTGTTCAAGACTCCTGAACTGGAAGCCAATGCTTCAGGGTCGAATTGTAGAGTGGGCCCACTGGTGGCAAACATGTAGTAGGCAGGTGTGGAAATGTTCCAGAGAGGTCATCCATTCATTTGGTGACGGGCTTTAATGTTTAAAAATTCACCACTCTTCCAAGAAACCACTGTATTATGTCTCTTCTCTTCTGCCTTTTTTCAATTAGTATTCTTACCAGGAAGGCATAAAGTGTGTAAAATTTTGGGCCCTACATTTCATAGCTGTTTCTGTGGAATGTTCCCCACCAAAAAACTCCTCTGGGTATAATCACATAAAGTCAAGAGAAAGGAATTAGGAGGCAGAGGACCTTTACACAGTGACATCTGCCTCGCCCCTATAGCAAGAAGGCACCGAAGAAGGTTTTATCTTCTTTTGTGTAATCCACCAAAGCTATGTCACTGACATTCACCATCAGCTTGTCTCCTTCTTGCAAGGAGAACATGGCTCCTAGGTAGATGGGTTGGAACCAGTTGCTGCCTATTTCACACACTGACTTGGTGCCCATCAGGAGCTGGGTTGGCTCAGGGTAGCTGTCTGTTACCTTGGTGATGACCACGATGATGGAGTCCGGCTTGTTCAGTTGGCTTCTTTGGCTGATGCCCCCACACTCAGATGTGGTCCCTCGGAATGTGACCTGGGAATAAACAAAGTAGTCTCCCTGCTCTGGGATCACCAGGAATTTATTGGTATAGTTCATCCGGTTCTTGGTGAAGGCCAGGCCAAGTTCATGTTCCCAGTGCAGAGCCGGGAACTGGTTTTCCAGCCGCTGTGTGGGAGTTTGTCTCACAACTGCAAAGACAAGAGAGGGGGTTAATTTGCTTGTGTCAGAGCCTGTGGACTTTGCTAGTAGGAATCTCCTATCATTTGCAAAGAGTAAAATGATTGAGTAAAACCAACGGCTACAAGCTCCTTGAGGAGGAATGAGGGGAGAACATGTGGGTGGGCATACATATTTGTTCAGAAAGTAGTATTTTAGGCAGGTGACCTGGGGTAAATGACTTTGCCTCTCTGAGCCTGAGATTTCTTCTCCGACACTTTGGAATTCCAGGGCCCTGTGCTCCTGGAAGACGGTGAAGATTAAGAAATTTCCTCATTCTTGTGTCTCAGAAAACAGCTTATTGCAAACGACCACTCTTTCCTAAGTGACTTAGTTAAGACTGGTGGATGACCCCTCGTTACCTCCAACACAACCGGACCCTTCAAATTTCCTTTCTTTTTCTCATAAATAATAAGCTGAACAGTTTCATCCCCACTGATCCTTTGAAACAAAGTATTTGTTAACTAAACTTTGGTTAAGCTCCTCTCCTTCCTCTAGGCCCTGAACTTTGGCCCACCCTCGGCCTGAGCCCGGGAGCAGTCTCTCCTGAGAACAGGCCGGCCTCAGGGTAAAACATTCTCCAAGCCTATCGTGCCAACCTTTCATCCCACTTTTCCACGCCTGGTTCTCTTTAGCTTTATTTTACTCCTCTCTGTAAAAGAAAAACCCCTTCAGCCTAACTAATTCTTGAGACACCTGCAGACATTACAGTCAGAGTTTTCTCTGTGGCACTAATCCCTTTCCTCTCCCGCTGCCTCACTTTGCAAAAATGCTTTTGCCTGGTCTCTTCTTACTAAGTCAGGATCGCTTTTTTTTTTTTTTTTGCACATCTTCCCCTAAAAAAAAAATGGAAAAGAGATAATACCTGTAGAAAGGATTAAAAGAGGTGGTACAAATGAAATCCCTAGCTATTAGGAATAACCGCTGAATGAGATCAACTTTTACTGGCCTTTTGTCTGGGACAGACTCTGCTCCAAAGAGAGGACATTTCAGGAAGAGTGAGATGTTCCCTGTAACTCCCTTCCAATGAGGTGGTCCAAAGTCAGTAATGGCAGGCAGTAACTTGCCATTATAATAAAACAAATCAGCATGCAGGCCAGATATTGGAACCAGAGATTCAGAACATTTTGGAAATATTTCTCCCACATCAACAGGGCCAAAATACAAGCCAGTGTAGTTGACTGTGGAGTAGAAGGGACTGGGGTTCTGGGCTACATAGGCCCAGTGCCAATCCTGACTCTACAACATGTGAGGTTATTAATCAGCCATGGAGGTTCCTTCTCCTGGGTCTCAGTGTTCTGTCTGTGAGTTGGAGATAGAGCCCCTCATGGTCTTGTTCTGAGGAATCAAGTGAATGAAAAACTGTTACGGACATTTTTATCATGATGGCTGGCTACAACCGTACTCAATACATATTTATATTCCTTCTCCAAATAAACTAGCATCTTTCACTTTGACAGATTAAAGAATAAGCCTATTTCATTTTACATATTTTTTATGTTCTTATGTTGGCATTATTTACAAGTCTATATTATACATAACATGAATGAATGCTTTTATGAAGTATGGCTAAAGCAGAAAAAAATGGATAGAATCAAACCATTTCAAGTAAGAAAAACTGCAATAAAATCAATACTTTCCAGGAAAAATTAAAACACCTTTTAGTTTACTACAACTGCTTTGGAAACCCATAGCAATCACAATTATGTACTGTCAGTCACAGCTTTGGGATAGGTTAGGTTTAAAGAAGCATTTAGCAACCTTCACACTCAGTAGCTGACCAGAAATCTGGTGCTTGAATTTTTTTCTAAATCATCTTTCCCATTGGTGACTGGACTAGGGTTTATTTTGCAACTATGACACATGTTCAGTGTGTGTGTGGTCTCCCCTGCCCCCTACACTAAATGGCCCCTAGAGAATTGTGTGCTGCTTTGAAAAATCTGTGAAAGACATTTTTAGTAGTCTCCCCAGATAATCTCTACTTCTTGGTGGATGATGCAGTAGATTAAAAAAAAAATTCCTCTCAGATGATGCAAAAGCAAAAATTATTTAGTCTCTAGACAAAGTAAGAGCTGTTAAATTGGCATGCAATTAGCTATGTCAACACAGCAGCAAGTGGGAGTTTGGGTAGGAAGTATGTTGTGATGGAAACAGTGCAGGTTTGAGAGTGAAGCCCAAATCTTCGCTCTTCCTAGTCATGGGACATGGAAGGGGTGAATTTAGTAGCCCAAGCCTCAGTTTCCCCTCTCACTGGGATTCTATGCAGACTAAATGGACATAAAATGCCTACCACAGTGCCTAGACCATATTACCTGCTCAGCAGAACCTAGCTTCCCTCCCCAGGGTCTGCTCTCCCATTCAGTAGGAAGAGGGGTGGCTTCTCCATACTCAGTCTTAGAATTGCCTGCCCAGCCTGTTCAACCTCCCATCCTTACAGGCAAGCAGAACGTGGTGGTGACCCGGCATCTCCCTGGTCTTAATCCTTACTCAGGACTCACCACAAACAATTTCCTCTTGGTCAAACATTAAAACAAATGTCTTGGGCCACAAGGATATCCCCCTGTGGGTTGCAAATTTTCTTATAGGTCAGAAAAGTATGCTTTTTTAAAAAATTTTAGCTCTCTACAGTTTTTGGATGGGTTGTTAGCGTATCTTTGTGTAGTCTCTTGCTCTTTTCTCTGAAGTTCTAGGGAGATGGACAACTCCAGGTGTGAGATGCCAGGAATTTTGACACCAGGCTTGGGAAGCGGCCAACTGGGGATAGTATGAGATGGCTCTTGATCTCTTCACATCCGTGAAAATTCTTTGGAAATACTTACCTGAAAGTAAATGTCCAATAACTTCATCTTGAACAGGGCACAGATAAACCCAGTAAACTGGCAACTCAGGGGATCTTTGACCAGATTTGGAATTACGTGAATCACTGAGTCTGAGGAAAGGCATTTCTGAAGGAATCAGTGTGTGAGAATAGAAGGGAGAGACAGTAGAGAAATGAAGAATCTGAAAGAAATGACCAGGAGTCATGGGGCTTTGGACTCGTACAGGGAGAAAGACACCTGAAATCTTCGACTGACAGGAGGAGCCTACTACCAAAGGCTGTGGTTCCCAGTTGGAAGTTACTAGAATGAGTTTTGGCAAACCCTCTGAGAAAACTCTCAGGCACATGGCACACGGTCTCCTGGAAAACGTACCAGGGAGACGTACCTGTCAGGTGTGCTCTTGGCTTTTCTCCACCGGCTCCAGGAGCTCCATCTGTAAGGAAGAGACAAAAATGCTTTGTCTGAGTCAGAGGGTGACCAGAGGGAAGACAGCACATTGAGTTGCATGGTGCTTGCAACCTGAGAGAAATATTCCTCCCCTCCAGCTTGGCTCAGTTCCACTCCTTTTTTTTTTTTTTCAGGGACAAGGGAGTCTCAGGGGACAGAGTCTTCAGCACAAATGAATCTTGCCCCATAACTTTGGGCAAGTTGTCTAAGCTGTCTGAGGTATTGTTTTCTCATCTGTAAGATGGGCACACCAGCTCCCACCATGGGTGGAGAGTGCCCAGTGTGATTGCTGGCACATACTCGGTGCTCAATAAAAATTGCCTCCCCTCCCCTCCTGCTACTTCAGTGGGAGCAAACTGGCCTTTTGCCTTTTTCAGGGTTCCTGTGACCCTGTCCACGGAGGCGGCGTCTGGATGGAACGCAGGTGGGATTAGGTATTATTCTAATACCTTTATAGGAATTTGCTGATTCAATCCACACTAACCCGGGGAAGTAGGTACTACTCCAGCCATATTTAGGTCAGTAACTGAGACAGAGACAGGTGAAATTATTTGCCCAAAGGCCATCAATTCCATAGGCCATTCACTTGGCTAGGCACCAGTTTACCTTCTTAGTGACTGGGAAGGAGCCTCACTTCTCTTCTGGGTTTGTGGCCCCCGAACCTCCTAAATACCAGAACGATTAGATAAATCCTTGTTCCCCTCTAGCAAAGGTGTCAAGTATGAACACACTTACAAGCTCGCTGATGTGAAGGTCCAAACTCCTGTCCTTTTGGAGTCTATTGGAAAGAAAGTCATGGATCAGACCATCTGCAGCCCTTTTGACCCCGAGACCCACACAGCTGCCCATAGGGTGGGCATTTTCCTGATATCCAGCCTGGGGACTCCGAGCTGAGGGAAATGGGAGTTCAACTGTGTCTTGCCCCCAAGATCCTCCTTTCCTGCCTCCAGTACCCCAGTGACCTTTTTCTCTCGTAGGCTTCTCTCTGAAGCTCAATTTTAAAGTTCTGTCCTGACAGCTTTTCCTGTTTTGTTCTAGGGCACTCTGACATCTTCTCATTGCTATTATTAGAACAAATAATGGCACTTCCTTTATTTTGTTTTCTTACCACAGTTTAAAAATTGGAACTATTCTAAAAAAAGACACAGAAAAAGAAACAATGGCTCTACTCTCCTTCTTATTAGCCTCAATAACTCTTCCTTGTTTCCATGTATAACACGAAGACTTCCATCCTTGTGATCCTAGTTTGGGGGCCACTTCCGATACCACACAGTAGTGGAAACCTAACTGCAGACGGCCCTGAGGTTGAACGTGACCTTCCTCACTTATTAACATCAAGATCTTGAGCAACACTCTTTTCCTCTCTGAGCTTTGGTGTCCTCATTTGTGTAAGGGGAATCCCTAGCTCTAGATAACTCCCGGTTTGAGGGGCGGGTCAAGTCAGAAAATGTCTGAGTCAATGCAAAGGACACAAGGAAAACAAAGGAACGACCACTCACATGCCTGAATACGAAGCTCAGGAGCAATCTCAGCCCAGTCTCCCTTTCCTCCCCAGCCGTGCTCCTAACCTCTGCGGGAAGGCAGAGATCTGGTCTTTCAGTGACTGACTCATTTCATTGTCTCTCCAGCGCCCTTTGCTTCCTAATTCTGATAATGGTGTCACTACAGCTTCTCCCCTGTGACCTGGCCTCAAATTTGCTTCTTTCTTCTTCTACAAACCCAAGCTTTCCTGCCCTTTTGTAGTTTTTCTCATTTATGTCTTCCCTCCAGGACTTGGCACTCTGTCCTTCTGGATTCTTCCAACAACAGCCTCCCAACAGGTCTTCCTGCATCTGGTTTCCCCTTTTCTCTAGTCCATCCTCTAGTCTGCCTTTGGAGGGCCTTCTCTAAAGCATCGCTTTACTGAGACACAGTTCTGTTTCCAAAATCTTCAGTGATGCTCCATGGCCTTCAAGACACAAATACTGAACTTGGCCTTCAAAGTCTCAATTCAGCCTCCCAGTCTTGTTACCCATGCCTCTCTAAGTCCTCTGTCCTCCAGCCATAAGAGCAACTACAGTGAATGATTCATAGGGCCCGAAGAATGCAGTCGTGTGCTGCCATTTACTGAATGAGTGGTGACACTATGCTATGCTAAGCCTGTCACATGCATCACCTCCTTCAGCTTTGCAAAGACTTTCTGAGGTGGATGCTGTTCACATCCTCGTGTAGAAAATGGGGCTCAGGGAGATTAAGTAACTCGCCCAATGTCCTACACCTGGAAAATGCAGGAGCAGGGTTTTAACTCAGGCCACCTGACTCCAGGATCTCAACGCCAAAGCCATTGCACCTTACAACTTCTGACCGAGCTTCTCATCCTGCGAGGTGAATGGATAAATACCCGCAGTTCCATACACTGTGATTAGGGGAAACACAGAGGTCAGAAAATAGGAACCTGGCCCAGAAGTGGGGGAATCAGGGGAAAATCACCAGTGGACTGAGTCTTCCATGTATTATCCAGGTGATAAAAGGTAATGAGCATTCCAGGCAAGGCCAATGGCTTGTGCAGGAGTAAGGAGGCCCAACAGGGCACGAGTGAGAGCAGCTGGGAAACTGTAAGGATTTCCTCTGCTAAATGAATGCGTTATGTACATTTAGCATATGGTCATGACTACGATGTGGTCTTTGAAAATCTAAACCCAACTGATGTGATTATTTGTCCAGCATCAATAACTTTGGTGGGCTTGGTGGGGATGGGGGTGGAGAAGCAGTCTAGAAATGAGCTTATTCTGTACTCTCTTTCCTTACTTGCTACTGGCAGAGCTGATCAAGGATTGGTTCTTTGGCAAAGGCAGAAAACTGAAGGTGGGCTCTTGAAGAAAAATGGGAGGAGTTTGGTTACATTCCCCTGTGTAGGAAATGACACCTGCCCTGGGTGGCCTTCTGCTTCATTTAGTTCTCTGCTGAGAAATCTTCTTGAACACTCTGCTTATTTGTGTTTAAGCAGATACCCAGCTAAGAGTTTGGAGCATTTCTTTTGACTCAGAGTCCCCTTGTCATTAGCATGTATTTGGATTTCTATAACTTGGGCACACATTTTATCTTCATCTATGGGTGGATGTGTCTGGATTTTAGTGCCCAGAATTCCAGTAGACCTCTCAAGGCTGTAATAGTGCCAGGCGGCCAGAGGTGAGGACCACAACATTCTAAGAGTCTCCAAGAAGAACATCAGCTGGGACTCCTCCCAAGAACAAAATCTAGAGCTTTCCATGGGCTGTTTGTCTTAACAAGGATTGTCTATTATGGGAAGAAGACTATTATACAGGAAATGGGGATGAATGAAGAGGAGATTTGAGAGGAAGACATACTAGCTTATTTGGGGAGAGGTTTATGCATTTGAGCGGACTCAGTGCCTATACTCAAGCTGGTGCTGGCAACACAGGCCAATAAAATGCCTTCCCGTCTTCCAACCCTTAATTATCTCCATCACTTCTGGGTTACTCTGTGTCACCAAGGAGATGGTGGCTTCTGAGAGATACTGGTCCCTGCAGTATTAACTTCCCAGACTGAATAGACTCTGAGTCCAAGAGCACTCCAGAAGAATGTTATTCCAACTTTCATGCCTTCTCAAACTACTGACTGAGAACCAGGATCCAGTTTTACTTTCCCTCCTGAGTATTTATCACCCCTTGAAGTGATATGACTTATGTGTGTGTTTACTGCTTCCCCTTCTGAGGTAGGAGTCAAGCTGCATGCAGGCAAGGACCTGGGCTGTCTGTCTTGCTCACGACTGTATTCTTTGTGCCTTGGACGAAGCCGGGCACTTTTACTGCCTTGTCCAACCTACAAAATATGCAGATGCTCAGGCAGCAAAGAGAAGAGAAGGGGGAGTAAAGTTCAGCATCAGTGATTTTAGTCAGAGTTGTTTAATCTAACAAACTAGGAAAGAGAGTTTTTTAGGACACATGCAAAGTTTTGCGTTTTTGTTTAAATAAAAAAAATTAATTATGTAGCGGTGGGTAGCCATAATCTTTTAGTAGTGGGGCCTCTAAAGTTTTCATCAGGCTCTGCTTGGAGTAGAGTCATGGCTCTAGGAATGTTTGTGAAAGTTGCAAGTGTTGGCTGGAGTCAGAGCTGGAAGAGGCAAATGTGTACATGCGTAGGTGTGCATGTTGGCGGGTAGTGGCTGCTCCCACCAGTAGTTAGGACTCAAGCCAGCCGTGACCTATTACTATAGGTGTTTTAGGAAAGGCTCTAATATTTCAAACAGGGAAGAAGGAAGGGTGGAAAGAGGAAGAGACTACTACGTAGTGGGTGCTCACTGGGTGTCAATCGTGTGCTGACATTTGTGTGTGCTCCTCGTCGAATACCCCAGCTACTTTCAAAGGAGGGCATCACCTTTTCACAGCCTTTGTGAGCCAAAGGTTATAGAGTAAATGGAGGGCCTGGGATTTGAACCTTTAGATCAAGTACAGACCCTGGCACATTATCAGGAGCCCCGTAGACATTAGCTGAGTACACACAATGGATGATTGAATGTGAAGCGAGATGGTCTTTGAGATTCTGTTATTGGTATTTCCCCAGAAAAGTCCCTTGAGTGTGTTTTAACTAATGACTAATTTAGCCTTTCTCCCATGTTCCATAGTTGCTCTCCAGTATATTCATAAATGGGAAGAGAAGCTGTCGCAAATGCCGCAATTACAAAGGCAATAAATGTTTTATGACCGATAACATTCTCCCAGCACTTCTAGAAGTGCTCCTTGCCTTTTCCTCTTGCTTCTCCCTGTTTGTACTTGCCCAGAGATAAATACCCAACCAGGAAATTTTTTATTGCAAGGCCATTTCATCGTCCCCAAGGTGCACTGGACAGGGCTTGAGCTGCAGCATTCAGAGTGGTACAGAGCCAAGAATGTGGTATTTGCAGCTGAGCAATTGTGGAAATTCCAGTTCTCTGATTTCCTAGTGGCCTGACTTTGGCATGTGAGATTCAGTTTCCTCATCAATAAAAGCACACAATGATTCTTCCCTCCCAGGACTATTGTGACGGCTGAGAAAGACTGTCTACATAGAGTGGATATCCAACTCATTTTCCATCTTTTTCTGGGCTCAGTAAACACTTATGATATGAATCGTTGGTTCTGTATAGCTTCCCTTTGGTTTCATTACTTCAGTGATAAACAGAAGCCACCCTTGGGTCTCTTTATGACCGGTGGCAGATATGGATCCTTTAGGAGTCCTGAAGGCTTTCTCCTTCTCCCAACCGGAGAGGCTTTCTTGGTCCACAGCTTGCTTCTGGAATTCTGCCCTTTGAGAATGCAAAGGCATAGAGGGAATGCTGTACACCCCTCAACCCATTTCAAAACCCAGGTTTGCTGCTGCTGTCGGCTGTTGGGCCTCATTAAGGACTCCAGGCTGGGAGTAACCTCTTGCAGCCACTGTGCCCTGCAGATCCTGTGTGGTCTGTCAGGTGGGGACGCAGGAGCTCTCAGTGCTGCCCATTGAGTGACGTGCGTGTTTATTTTACCAGGTGAGTTTGGGAGTCGCACTGACAGCTCGCTCCGCCTCCCCTCCTTTGCTCCTGTGGGGCACATTCACTACCTCTGGTTTCTCTGCCCTTTGCCCTAGGCCTGACCTTTGGAATGAGTTGGGATTCTCTTCCCCATGTGCCAGGACTTCCTGGGGCTACAGCGGGGGCAGCGCCCGAGTGCTCAGTGTTCTGCAATTTGAAAAGCACTTTTAACTCAACCGTCTGTTTTGTCTAGATAACGCTGAAAGGGGATGATTGTTTTTGTCCTCGTT